AACAAGAAGTTTTATCTTGGTTTTCACGGAGTGAAACTTGGGCTTGCTTTCATGAATGTACGGAACACACCACAGCCATCCCTGTCACCTTAGACCAGTAGAAATCTCACACCTCCTCACACTCAGGACATTCGTTACAAACAGCTGGAGATGATGCTACTGCGATCACTACTCTACCATGACTGGGATTCTTAGCGCCACCACACTGTCTGACACGCTGCTGTTCAATACAGGCCTAAAGGAACATGCTATTGCACAAATGGGTTCTTTTCACTATTTGGTTACCATTTCAATATAATTCATTTCCTCTGTCAGCTCCTGTATTTTATTTTACATTTAAAAACATTATTCTGAGAAGAGGCCCACGTTTTCTCCAGGCAGCCAGGGGGCCCCTAGCACAGAAATGGTTAAGACCCTTGTCCAGGGAAACCACCATGGAGGGGTGTAAAGAGTGCGTGTCATACAAGCCAGAACAACCGCCCAAACCCCACGGGAGCTGGGATTGTGTCTCCCTGATTATTCAAAACAGTGTGATAGAAAAATGCTGCTGTGGAAAACATGATACAGTACAGGCACAACACAGGCATAACAGCAAACCCATGTGTGTACTCACACAGAAATCCTATTTTTTTTTAAAGGGTGGGTAGAGGGAGCTAAACCATAATGCCAACAATGGTTATTTAGATGATGGTGCTATTGGTCATTTTTATTTTCTTGTTTGTGTGTCCCCCACCACCAATTTTTCACAGGCAACAGCTATCATTAACATAATCAGGAAGAAATGGTATTTTAAGTCCTTATTTCAGTCTGACTGGTGTAGCCCAGTGGTTGAGCATGAACCTATGAACCAGGAAGTCACAGTTTGATTCCTGGTCAGGGCACATTCCTGGGTTGCGGGCTCCCCACTAGAGGGCTTGCAGGAAGCAGGCAATAAATGATTCTCTCCCTTTCCCTTCATCTCTGAAATCAATAAAAATATTTGTTTAAAAAGAAACCTTATTTGGATTGATTAGGAGATAGTTTAATCTTTTAGAGATTGTGCCTTTTCAGAAAAAAAGTCGCATCTCAGCACAAGGTAGGCCCCCAGTAGGGGGTGTGTAGGAGGCAGCCAATTGGTGTTGCTATATCTCTCTCTCCCCCCTCTCCCTTCCTCTCTTTCTAAACAAATCAATAACATATTTAAAAAAATAATAAATAAGAAAATAAAAAATGGCTCTTGCAAAACACCAGAAAACAACCACCCAATGACAGTTACCAAAGTTGAATAAAGGCGATTTAAAAAATTGATTAATAGTATCTAATTCCTCTACAACTTCAAGATTAAGATCACCAGGTTCAATGTGCAAATCTGTAACTCCTTTTGTTGAAGCCGTTCTGCATGGCGATTCTTTCCTTAATCTTTATCCTCTTGGCTTCCCCCTAGCCTACAATTGCCAGAGCATTGTCTGTCCGGGCCTGTAGAGAGATGACTTTAGGGGCCGGTAGAGAGATGATTTTAGTGCCCGGCAAATTATCATGATTAACACAGGCTGCATCCTTAATGAGCTCATTCCCGCTCTGAAGACAATGCCATTACCCAACCAGACAAAATTCCCTGGGCTGGGAGGGCTGAAGAATCAGAGGGTGCGGACTTGCGTGGTTTCCCTTGATATGAGGGCCTCCTGTCAGGATTGTCTGACTTCCATGGCAATTAAAACGATCCTTCGGGGTCACCTCTTTCTT